CCTGCTCCCTCTCTCCTTTACACCTTGTCTGTCCTGCTTCCACAGGATTTGTTCTCCTGTGGCTCTAAGGCTTGGCCAGTGTGGGCTCTCATTCCAGGGCAACACCATTTCCCCCCACTGGCCCAGGGACCTTGCCCTCGGGGACATTTGCACGTGACTTATTTGAAGTGAACACTTCTTCCCTGGCCGGGTGGTTCAGTTGGTTGGAGCATTATCTGTACACCAAAAGGTGGTGGGTTCCATTCCTGGTCAGGGCAATACCCAGGTTTCGGGTTTGAACTTCGGGTGTGCATGGGAGGCAACCCATCAGTGTTCCTCTCTCTCCCTCCCTCTTCCTCTCCTCCTTGCTCTCTCTAAAATCAATAAAGTGAACACTCCCTGGAGTAAAGACCAGTGTCTGCGACATTGCTTCCCTGACACGTGAAGTGAGTTATTTGTTGGTGGAGAAAGAGACAACCTAGTGGTAGCTGCGGGTGCTGCTTAGGCCAGCTGAGTCGGGAGTGTGATCCCCAGCTGGGTGGTGGAGCATGTAGCTTAGGGGGTCTCCCCGCCCCAGCCCCCCAACATTGAGCTGTCGGGAGTGTGGTCCCCAGCTGGGTGGTGGAGCATGTAGCGCCCAGCCCTGAAGTTGCAAGAAATGGAAATTCTGGTGGCTGACTTGTAGCAAGTGCTTTGGCATGAGGAACATTCTTAGAAGCTGAGATTTTGTTACTCAAGGACACTGTTGCTTTCTGACCTGGGGCAGAACATGTTTCCTTAGAGCCTCGGCTTTCCCAGCTGGAAAAGGGATGGGAGTTTGTGAAGCCTGTGAAATTGCATCTGGTGAGCCCTGTACACAGCCACCATGGAGCCTTCGGTATTCACACGTTGTCCCGGCCCCTTATGTTCTCACTGGTTTTAGAACTTCATGTGGCTGTAGAGGCAGCGAAGACTCCACACAGCTTTGTTCCTATTCAAACTGTCCAGACGGCCGTGTTCTCAGGGACCCAGGAGCCTGCTGCTGTGGCTGACGCTGGTTCCGTGAGAAGAAACCAGCCCAGCTTGTTGCAGGGGGTCCCAGACAAGTGGGCCTCGCTTAGGCCAAAGGCCTTAACCGAATTTTTCTTTGACTATACTTAGATAATAGTGATGTTTGGAAAGAAAAAGGACTAACATTTTTTAAAAATATATTTTAGTGATTTTTTACAGAGAAGAAGGGAGAGGGATAGAGAGTTATAAACATCGATGAGAGAGATCGACCAGCTGCCTCCTGCACGCCACCCAGTGGGAATGTGCCCGCAACCAAGGTACATGCCCTTGACCGGAATCGAACCAGGGACCCTTGAGTCCGCAGGCCGACGCTCTGTCCGCTGAGCCAAACCGGTTCGGCATGGGACTAACTTTTTGAGAGCTGTCCATGGCCAGCACTGGACAGCTCTCCTTGGCCTAGCACCTTCATACTGCCCATGGAAGGAGGCCCAGGGTGTGAGCAGGGGTCCCTCTTTCTCACCCTCTGTTCAGGCTTCATTCCTGGCTGTCCCCAGCATCATTAGGGTGGACAGAGCTGTCTGGGTACTGGGATTGGGATAAAGTTTCACGCCGATGTGGGTGTCTTTTGGAGTTGGTGATCCTCACATTTTAGCAACAAGGTTGCTTAGTCCCCCCAACCCCCGCCGTAAAGGGGGCTGACTGCCCTTTGCTGAGGGCTTAAGGCTGAATTACCTGAGTTTGAACAGTGGGTGGCTCTTCCAGCTGTTTACAATTTGCCACACAAGGGCCCTCTTTGTGAGGGACCCATAATAAAGCATTTAGGGAAGTGGTCTCCTGGCTACATGGGTGGTTGGTGGACCCAATGGGCCAGAGGCCTGGCTCCCAGGGCGGTTCTGTCACCACCAGGGGGCCCAATGCCTGGCTCTCAGGTGCACTGAAGGAGTGGCTCTTAAACACCTGCCCAGAGTTCCACACATTTATAAATATATGATTGAAGAGCTTTTTTAGTCATATGTGAGTTGATCAAAATCTAACAACTGGTTTTGAAAATCTTGAAGCAGAGATTTGAAAGGACTCTGGAGAAAGTTGCCTCAGATTTGGGGAAATTTGCGCAGTTCTAAAAAGTACTTTAACTTTTCTTCATGTTGATGCATCATGAGTCTCAGGCTGGCTGCCTGGTCCTGGGAAATAGTGACTGCTTAGTGCTCTCAGCTCTGACAGTTGCCGCAGGCTGGAGGCCAGCAGCTGTGACTTGATGGGCCTCTGACAGTCATCAGGCGGGTATAGGAAGTCAGAAGGCAGAGGGGAGGGGCTTCCGCAGCAGGCCCCTCTGTTCTGGATTCTGTGTACCAGGAGGGTGACGGGGATCGTCCTTTCCTGTGGTGGCATGGTGCGTTACACACACGTGTATATGGCGTGCCTTAGAATAACTCCTCTACCCCTGTGAGGTAGTGAGTGCTGTAAAGGTGTGTGTGAGACTGGAAACTGGGTATCTTTGTGGTGGGGCTACAAACTCTTTGAGTTAGAACTTCTGATTTTTATTTTTATTGATTTCAGAGAGAAATGGAGAGGGAGAGAGAGAAACATCAATGATGAGAGAGAATCGTTGATTGGCTGCCTCCTGCACATCCCCTACTGGGGATTGAGCCCTCAACCCGGGCCTGTACCCTTGACCGAAATTGAATCCAGGACCCTTCAGTCTGCAGGCCGATGCTCTATACCAGTAGTTCTCAACCTTCCTAATGCCACGATCCTTTAATACAGTTCCTCATGTTGTGGTGACCCCCAATTTCATTGTTACAAATTAAACATAATTAAAGCATAGTGATTAATGACAAAAAC